ATAAAGCACTTGCTAACACAGTAGGTAAAAGGCCTGCCCTCAATTTTAAAGAACAGTAATTAAAAGCACCAAATCCCGGAGATGTAATGAAAAGTTCTCAGACAATTTAGAAGAAGCCAATAAGTACTTGTAAGACCTTTGAAATAAGCTTATCAAGACGTGCCATCAACTTTACAGTGGTCACATTACACAGATTTGACTAGCAGGAACAAATTAACCTCTGGGTCCTATGTAATGTACATTTTGGATCCAAAATTCCCAGGAAAGAAAGGGCTGCTGGAAGAAAGCATTGAATGCTAACATTTGCTTTTAAAAAAAAATAAAAATGAAGAAACAACAGAAACAGAAGTTATGACAGTCCCCCAACTGCTGACAGCTTTGCTTTCTTCAGTGCTTACTTATATCAGTGAGACTTCTGCGTGAACATAGTCTGAAGGGTGGGGGTAAAGGATTCAGGTTTCAAGCCTTTCATTTAATATCCAGGGTGTGATTATAAACAGTCAGTCTTCAAAGAGGGAGAAAAACAAAGGACCAGCCTTCAACAAAGCCTCAGGTAAACCCACCAAAACAAGGTCAACGGTCTGCTGCATTTCTAAATGTATATAGGAATACTGCACTTCAGAAACACAGGGCTGCAGGGACTATTCACACTGACAAACAGAAGCCTGGTAAGACAGCTAATGGCAGCAAAATTATATACAGAGGCATTTATTTTTTCCTTCTGCTTTTCCTTTTCATTTAGAATTGCTTCCTTTTGTTCTGCAGGACAATAGGATGCTTGTGCCCTTTCTCTCAGTCCCATTGGCATATTCTGGGCAGCTGATATTTATCTGGGATTGTGATTATACAGTGCTTCATTGTCTCTTGGGTGTTTTATAAATGCATTAAGCTAAGTCAGCATATTGGGGAAAAGACTGTTCTGCGAGAGATAAACCATGCTGTTTCACAGGGGTACATGGATTTGACCATATTGTCCACAAATGAACAGTACAAATGAATTTATGGCTTCAGAGAAAACATAAACACTAAGCTAAAGATGCCTGCAACTGGCATCAATACAGAGGGGACATGACTTACACTGGAAATTCTCCAGGACTGAGATCATCTCTGTATTTCCTGTTGTCTTTATGATAATTGCCACCAGAATTTGTCAATAAGCTTTGGGATCAAAGATGCTATCATAATTATAAAACTATTAGATTAATAAGAAGATCCTTGAGCTCCCAGTCAGCAATGTGCAGAGGATTTCTGCTATGGAAATATTTGGCTTATGTTGACTCATTACAGCAGACTCCTCTACATTGAATAATGGAGACATGAGCTGCAGGAAATAACATTGTCCAGTTGTTCCCATAGCCTGAAACTCCCAGTTTCTGGTGGAATTAGGAGCCAGCTGCATTTATGGGAGCCCGACATACCTTGTACTTGAATTATTCCCCAGAGAAGAAATCCCACAAGACTGAGCATCCACTAGTGCCTTAAGGTGATGCTGCTGTCTGGGTTGTCCAAGGCACTGACTGCTCCCTCACTGGAGCAGGGGATTGGAACCATGACCCATGTGCAACGCTGGGCACACTCACCCACTGCTTTGGGCTGTAAGTAGTTACAGTGCGCACACACGCACACACACACACGAATGTATACAATCAAACCCAGCATGTGTAAAAGACAATGTGAAATAATTGCCCACGAGGATCTGAACCAGGCTGGGATCTTGTTCGTGGCAGTCTCCAGCAGGAGCTGCCGTAGGTCGGGCGGGCATGGGTGCATGCAGCCCTTTCAGGCTCCGGTGCTCGGCTGTCGTGAACTGGTCAAGTCCCAAGGGTATCACACACAGCAGAGAGAAGGAATTAAAAGGAAAGTGGGAAGTCAGCATTTAATTTTGGGGTTTACATGGATGCGTTGCTGTGATGCTGGCCGACAGCCACAAGAGTTAGCCCTGCTCACTCTTAAGTTTTGAAGACCCTGGCAGTGATGGTGGTGGCACGTAGCAAAATGGCAGCAATTAATCATTTCACAGAGAGCTGGCCCAAGCAGAGACTGTACCCATAGCTCCAAAGTAAGGCCTCTCTCAGAATGGTCCCCTAAAATGGGTTTCATCAGCGCTGGTTCTGAGAGCCACGCTTTCCAAAAATGTTCTGCTGAGCTTTGCATGCAGAAGGCCACAAGTGAAAGTGCCCAACATTCAGAATGAAGGCTTCCAAATTCAAATGGGGGCCTAGCAAAATCAAATGCTACTGTCAGCATATCTCTAGCATATGAGGGCTTTTCTCTTTTTTTTGCTTACAATGCAGCCTCTAAGTTCAAAGTGCAAGAGGCATTGCTCCCTGTAAATGGTTTGTGATAAGGGCATAAATCTGTTTAGTTTAAATGACACTGCCATTTCTAAACCGCTTAGTCACAGACGCCATTTTGTGGGAAAAGCAAGATTTTAGGAACATTACAGTGTTAAGGGCTTGCCTGGAAATACGTGACCCACACTCAGGGTCACAGCTGGGGTGCTCTTGCTGTCTCAATATACCCATGAAGGGCACATTGTCATGGCCTCCTCCTCATCTTTCTCCTCCTATCCAAAAAAGCACCAAACGCCAGCCCTCCCGCCTCCAAGATGATTGCATAGCACGCTTGATTTCTTCTGCTCCCTGACAACTGTACAGCTGTGTATGCTTAGTTAGAGCCCTTCCTCACAAATTATGTAGGTGTTTTATATAGATAGAGGCGGTCTGTGAGAAAGGGGTGAGGGAACACCCAGCCAAGGACTTCTGATGTCTTTCACATCAGAAAGCTCTCCCGCTGCTGAGGTTGGTGCTGTTTCCCTAGGCGCTTATAGGCATCCTCAGTGTGGATGTGAGGGACGTCTTGAGGACACTTCCATGGCACGTGCCATGGGCATTTGGCACTGCCCAGGTGTCTTGTTAGAGAACCCGTAACCAGCCCGTAGCTACCATGCCAAAAGCATGCCTGAAGCACTGCAGAGTTGATAGATATGGAAACAGAAGTTCATTTGCTCTGAGCTCAAGCTGTAAGGATTACAGACTGCTCCCATCAATGGTGCCAGTCTACCTCTCCTGAAGGCGCTGCTGCCAACCTCATCTGGGGAAGTTGACTCCAGCCACAGGTGGGAGAAAAAGAGATGCAAGCTCTTCCCCTCTAATGCAAAGTGGAGGAAGGATGCTGAAGCTTATGATGTTGGAAAGGATTTTAAATACAGGCCTCCAGCTCTCTGCTAAGAATGACACAGTGCATGAACGGGATCCGAAACATCATTGTTTGTGCACTGCGGGAAAAATGCCAGTCCAGTGCTTTAGGATCCTCCCCCTTCCTTCAGCCAGTTTCTATCAAAGGCTCAGCAACTGCGGGAACCAGTAGCCTAGAAAATGGCAGATCATTAAACCTCTGCTTGGTTTCAAAACCCCACTGCCACCAGAGAACAGAGGGATTTTGTTTAAAATGCCTTTAAAATATAAGTTGTCGTTGAAAAGGCCTGCTCAGCTCAGCTCAGTTTTGTGCAGATAATTACATGCTTCCCCACCCTGCTTTGCTGATGAGACTGCTGATGAGCTGGTCAATGAGGCTAAGTGCTGAGTCGGGACACCCGCCTCCCTTCTCTGCCACCCTGGGAAAGCCACTTCCCAGCTCCAGTGTGATCCCTGTGGCTGCGGACTCCCTCCCACATGAAATATACTCCTTTTTAGCACTCACTGGCAGCTCTCAGTACCAGACACATACTGCCCTGGCTCTTCTGCAAGGATGCAACGTGATATTGCCCAGCTGCCATCAGCTGTCTGCAGCTTACAGGGCAGAGGTAGGCTAAAATATCTGGTTATCTTACAAGGCTTCTCTCTGCATCAAGGCAGATGCCGTCTCATGCAGGAGGAGGAGGTGACAGCAGCTTGTCACAAGACTCATGTATACCACAGCAGCAGCAGCAGAAACAAGGCTTTTCTTTCAAATGTATTTCACAGAAAGAAATGTTTCCTCTGACAACTTGCAGAGTATGGGCCAAGGAATATGTGTGGATCTCAGTGAAGCCAGCTGAGTAACCCTGCACCTGTGGTCAGACGAGCCTTCAATGGACTTAATTTAAATTGCTTTATTTTTTTTCTTTCAGAATGGAGTAAATAATAACAAGCTATGCAGGAAACACCTTAGTGCTGCTACTGATAACCTGTTTTCTGGAGTGTAGTATGATTGTATTAACCTTTCCAAAAACTCTAAGAACTTAAAGCAGTTTTTGTCACATGCTACTAATAAATTGCGGTCTGTCTGTTAGGAACTTGTCTTGTTCAGGTACCATGCATCCTGGTTAGCTTAAGGTCTCTGTGCAACATATTGGCAAAGTATAGTTGTATTGTCCTTTGCTTTGGCTAAGCGATAGACCACTGTTTACCAGTGCTCACAGCTAATGAAATTAGCAGACCTACCAACATGGCCAGGCTTGAAAATTGTGCCTAATAACATCCTGCATACCAGACCTATTGCACTTCGACAGTTTGCCTGTGCGCATGCTGATGACCTCTTCATCACCTGTGCAGTGGGTCCAAGGTGTACAGAACACATCGAGCTGATTCGGCATGTTCAGCAGCCTCGCTCCCCATGTTGTGCAATGCCCATTTACCAGGAAACAGGCGATGCACTACCTGGTAACTCTGTAGATTGCCACCCCAAGCAGGAGGGCAATAAACACCCAAAGCAGTGCCTATCACTAAAATTGGTAGGGTTGGCAGGCCTTAGCTAGATCTTTAACTCAAAGGGTGAGTGTCCATGTTTTCAATGGTGAGACTGAAGAACCATCCCTGTGACTCAGCCAGGAGCTTAGCAGTAGAAATATTTGTGATGCCTGTTGCTAGGTATGGCCACGTATATCATTGTAAGACTACAGCTGTGGTTTTGGGTACTCCAAGAGAAAGTTTGAATATAGAGGTACTCACCATGAAGTGGATGGTCCACTGGGAAACTGGGAAATAGCTGATCTTCCTCTTCCTCGTGTTTTCTTTTACCTTCCAGGTGTTCACGTCCTGTGTCCTCACCCAGGAGGGAAGTTGGGCTGTCAGTAGGTCTCCTGCAGTGAGCTGCCTGCACTTTCTTTGCCTTGGCCGTGGGTGTAGCACATGTGTCAGGGAGAAGCACTTTAGCTGAAGGTAAGTCACAGTCTAACTGACTCCTGCTGCTGGAATCTGTGAAGGACACAGTGCAAGACAACTTTGAATAAAGCAACTGTCATTCAGCGCACTTTCCAGTTCGTGTGAAAAAAAGAAGCATGGGTGTGGTCCAGGTACTTTACCATTCAAACCTGATCATATTTTAAATGGCTTTAATCCTTCAGTGCTGTGCATCAATGCCATATTGCAGGGGCACGATCCCCAAAATCTAGCCCGTTGTCTGCTTCCTTCCATCTTAAAACTTTCAGTGGTCCTTATGGGAGATTTTCAGAATAGGACTGTAGAAGTAAGGAGTCACAAACAAATGATCAAGAAAACTCAGCTTCCCTGTCAGTATCCAAATCAGTGGCTGCCTTTTCTGAAGAACTGAGAAGTACAGTAGATGTGGAGCTGCTCTGAAAATCTGTCAGCAAGATCGCTGTGGAATTTGCTGGATGCCAAATGCTTTTGAAAATCTGGTCCTTTCTCAAATATCCCTGTAGGTACATCTACTCAATAGGAAGATGGGCCGGAGAATAGGCTAAAGGTCAGTGTTTTCCCTGATTCAGGTCCATTTGTCCTTTTTTCTACATCTGGGCTGCCTGTCACTCCGATTTAGGCATTGGATAATTCTAAAGGCAGCCTTTGCCCAGGGTGTCAACATTTCCCATCTGCCTTTGTGACAGGTGACACTGGTGATATCTAGGAAGGTACTGACAGCCAACTCATCTCCATGAAATCATCTGCACGCTCTTGTTGACAGGACAAACATAGAAGAAGTGTATATTGGCCCATTTTCATGAAATGCAGCCATAAGGTTAGCTTAGATTTCAGCAGGGGCGTTAAAACAATCTCAGTGGGAGCTGAAGGTAACCTCAGCGTTAGCGTAATGAACCCATTGGGGAATTTAGGTTCCATGGTTAGCATGACCCTGAAGTGAATGTGACAGCACAGGTTTGTCTGCTGTTACCACCAAAGAATATTAACATCTTAATGCAATAATGGACTGCGCTCCTGAGCAGTCACCCACATCTAGGGTCTGGGGTTTGCAGCACCTGTGTCTGTTCCCCTCTCCCTTCTCATACCTAAATAGCAGCAGGTGTGAACCCCAACAGGCTGTACTGGAAAAAGCTATATTTCTTAACATACATTTTACTTCTAGTGCAGCATCTAGCATTGGCAAAGCCTCTAACTTTTTAGATTTGTCAGAGTTTTATTTTCTGAACAAATAATAAGTTCTATTTGTAATCAGCCTTGGAGCAATGATAATTATAACATCCGGAGACAAAGTGCCCAATTCTGCCCTCAGTAAAAGCCCACACAACAGGAATTTTACAGAGGGCTGACACTGACATGAAGAAAATGCAGTTACAAGAGCTCTGGAAATTAGCCAAGGCTTCATGTCAGTAAAGGATGGTTGTTCAAATGTCATCTTTTCAAATTACCACCAATCTTTGGGCAAACTTCTAAAAACAATTGCATGTGTCCAGCCATGCTGACCTTAAAAACGTGGTAAGATGTCCACCTCTCTGTTTGAGGCATATTGTGCAAACTGGGACTCATTTAATTCCTTTAGGATCAATTAGGTTAGAGTTTTCTGGTGGGAAAACAGGTGAGGTATTGAACAGTATTTGTGGGATAAATGAAAAGGACAGACCTGGGAGTGGTCACTAGCATGGGGCTGGGGCTAAATGATTTGCTTAAGAACTCAGAGGATATCAGTGTTGGCAGAGGTTCTTAGCTCAGGATTTCTATCTCAATCCCCCATCCCTCAATTAAAGGACTAGTTGCACTCCCTTGCTAGATGGGATGCTGTGAAGATGAACATGTTACAGAATTGATGGTGCTTATATCCTGCAGTAATGAAGAACATAAGGGTACCTGAACAAGGTGCTCTTATGGGCAGTGATTAAAGCTTTCTAAGAACACCACCGGGATTTTCTAAATTATAGAAGAGTTTTCACGTCTTCATGCTTCATACACAACTTTCCTCCCCAAAATTTTTCTGTGAGGTGCTCACATACCCCAGTGATGAGCACGACTTTTGTATGAGCTTCACACACAAATGTCAATATGGTGATGCAATAAAGCTGGGTGGAGTGTTGCTAAGGGTGAAGTAAACAATCACCATATTGACATTTGTGTGTGAAGCAGCTGTTGTATTCCTGTTAATTTGCATATCCTTAACATAATGGCATATAACACAGGCAGAATGACAAAATCACTGTATCCTTACTGCTTTTACTTTTATTTTCCCAGGTGCAACATCCTCATTCCTAGCTTTCCTTGACTTGATAAAGGACCTCCTGTTGGTGGAACCTCACTGGCAGAAATCGGAGGAGTAATGAACAATTATTTCAGATGTACTTTTAAGCACATTGAAATCAAGTTTCCAGGGATTTCAGAAGAAAGATTTTTTCTGAAATAGGCCTGCTAGTCTTCTCTGTTTAAAATGAAGGAGTTGGCACTAGGGAGGAAATCAGCACTTTCTGGATGTTTATTTGTCTCCCTTGCAAAGGCTGTGGTTGCCCTTTCTAGGCACTGTGACAAAAAGAAGAGAGGGAAGCATAGACTGAACACTAAAATGTCTTCTTTTTCACTATTCCTTTTTTAACTTGGTAAGAGTATTTCAAAAAGTCAAAAATTTTGGTAGACTTCAGATCAACAGCTGCAGTTCCAGGTTATCTAGTAGTTGGTTTTGTGCAGTAAACTCACAAATGGCTAATACTGCAACTGGGAAGTCGCACACTCCTGAGAAGACTGCACACTCCTTATTCCAAGTCCCACTGGAATTACTCTCACAAAACCCTGTGAACTTAGGAGTCAGCCCCAGAGATCTTCTCATACATGATCAACTCCTGCCCCAGATTTCCATGAGAGTCTGGCACTGTACATCATGACGCCTCTTGTCAAAGAATCATAGAATAATTTATGTTAGAAGCAACTTCTGGAAGTCATCTGGTCCAGCACCCTTGGGTTTTCTTGGGAAAGGTCTCCAGGGTAAGCTTTGTCTATGTCCCTCATATCTGATACTCTGCATCTTCTGGTCCTCTGGTCCTACCCATCTCTTCAGCTCTTAATGGCTAGATTTAGACTTCAGGACAAGTGTGATGTTGGTACCCAGACTGCCTAGATCAGCAGACAAGCTGGATGATAATTTCTGGCCTGGGTATTTATCTTACGGTAGCCACGAGTATGTGTGTGGTTCCAGTTCTTACTCTCATATGGATCATGGCTTATCTCACATACATACCATATGGGATGTGGGAAATGTTCTTAAAATCCATAGTAAGATATAACTTGGCCCTGACCTGTAGCACTTCCTCCTTTGCTGCTGCTGAACTGTTCCAGAAAAGCAGCTAGATTTGTGTCCCATCCTGGGATTTCCAACAAGTTCCCTAGCTCATTTCAGTTCCCTGACCTTGGCCAGCACTGAGCCAAATTAGATATAGCTGACTATTTACACAACTTGTTTAATGCCGGTGTTATATGGCATGGAGTTGAATGACTTTGATGAAATACAGCAATTATCCCAAGATGTACAACATAGGGTATGGCACTTCTGAAATAAACCTTATCTGCAAAAATCAGCAGTTCTGCTGGGAAGGCAAAGGGTAGTAAGCTTAGGTATCTCTTTGGTGTTAGTAAGAAACCAACAGTGAAAAAGCTTCATTTTCACTCTTCTTTTTAAACACCCTTGATAAATTGCAAAAGCAGTGTACAACAACATTTTGGAATATCCCTACAGCTTTCCTGTTTTCCTAGCTCCAGTAACAGTAAAGTGAATCTTCATGTGTATATACTATTTTCATTAGTTAACATTTTACATTGCCTTAAGTATATTAAGCCAACCTTGCTTTCTAGCAGGGGACAGAGGAGTCACTATATTCTCTTGCTACAGCTACAGTTTCTCTCTGGCTAGGTGATGAAGTGAAGTCAAAGGCAAGGCCTGGCTGCTCTGCCTGCATTGCTTTCAAGGTGAAAAACTGACTGTACTCTCAGGTGGAGCAATTTGGGATGAGACAGTACTGGCAGTGCAGTAATGCAATCCTAGGAACCCACAGCATCCTGCATACGGATTAGTCAGACCTCGTGCTTGGAGCAGCACACTTAGCTGAGACACGCAGTGAAACAGGGCTTAAACATATTGATCATGAAACAGATTTAGTATAAAAATGTACTGTCTTTGCCATGCTCCTCTGTTTGCAGAGAAGAGTCTCATGTTGTTAAAATGCTGTTCTATGGTCCATGTAATGAACAGCACTGACATAATTTTCAGTGGTGTTATGTGTCTCACTTTGGATCCAGTGGCACAAAGTGACTGCCAGGGGCTCTCTGGAAGGGACTTTCAGCTCACAAAATCTCAGTCCCACAGAGCCCACGCCAGCATTTTCCCCCCTTGGTAACCTGGCACCAGGGCTCCTTCGGCATACGGGCCCCATTACACTTGTGTCTGCATCAGCGATGTCCTTGACCACCCCTACAAAGTACCAAGTTCTCACTAGTTTCAGGACCATATAACATGGCCTGGATCTGCTGTTGTTCAGGTCCAATCTGCACCGGCAGCTCTAGGAAACCTCTAAATGCTGCAGCCCTCCAACAGTACCAGTGGTGAAACAGCCAAGCAACACTAGCCATGCCCTTCAGCAACACCCGTCTATCTTTGAAGCTGCCCTTTCTTTGAGCAGCAGGCTGGACTTCCAGATGACCTCGAGAGGTCCCATACAACCTCAATTATCCTCTGGTTCTGTGACAATGCAGCAGCACGCTGTCCCCCTCCCTCATACGCAGGTTTCCGTGGAAAGCTGCAGGCACTGGCAGAAAGGCAGCAGTTGTATGCTCATCCCCAGTGCTTGGGGCTCCCACGGCTGTGAGACGTGCCGCGGGCTGGCTCTGCCCCGTGCTCGGGAAACAAGCTCTGTACAGAGACAGTGATGTTACCCTGTGTCCGAGCGGAACAAGAAAGTGCAAATCGTGTGCAAAGCACGGCTGAGAGGCAGCGTTAGTGGGACTGGGCTCGAGCTCAACCGGTGACTAACGTTACACTCGTTAGTGAGTACGGCGCTCACTTTGCTGTAGTTTTCTTCCTGATTTAGGTCTTGTTTGCTTTCCAGTCCAGGTCAGTATCCGGTTTGGACATAAAAAGAGCTGAAACTATGTGAATAAGTAATGGTTACTTGGACTGCCAGGTTTTTGGAAAAAGGCTCTCTCCCTTACTGCTGGATGGTTCATCCAGTCTCCTGGGAAATGGGGTCCTGATCCATGAAAGGATCTCTCTGTGTTACAAAAAAATAAAGTGTAGCATTAAGCTTTGTTGAAAGCAGTTGAGCGAGAGGTGAGTGACAATTTTCTGTCAAAACTACAGGTCATTTTTCAGTTAAGTGGCTGTGTTTGTATACATAAAACATCTTTTCCTGGCAGATGTAGATTAAAAAATAAGAAGAAATACTAAATCCAGAAAATGTTGGTCATTGGTCTTTGTTTAAGGAAAAAAAGGAGACAATTTCTGTGGGGGTAAAAGTTCACTCAAGGCCGAAATAACTAAACTGAGGAAACTGAAGTCAAAAAGGCTAATACACTTGCTGGTTTGCTAAGATCGAAGTCATGCTAGTTTTCTACTAGCTGGTTTTATTTAGTTCATGAAAGGACCTAGTGTCCCTGATGATAAGGAGAAATGATTAAACACAAATGCTTTCTCTTTCTTGTTCCAGCAATTGAGTTCTAACACCCCTTAGCTACCATTACCCTTACAGAACATTTCTTCTGCTTGAGGATGAGTAGTCGGATTTATCAGAAAATGGTACTGATATGAGATTTGGCTGTAATTCCAGACAACAGTCAGCTCTTGATATAAGTGAAACTCCAACTTCATTAAGTTGCAGCAGTTTAAGGCTGAGCTTCCTGAGTTTGAATGCCTATCCCTCCTTATGACAGGTGATTCATTTTTATTTTTTTTTAAAAGCAAGAGCATTGTTTTTTAAAGGGAAAGACACCAGGATGTTGTATATGTTTACAATAAGCACTTCTCGCTGTTACTAAAGAGAGCTACCTGCAGTAACTGTTCAGGTTGCATACCCACCTCTCCAGTGACACTGGGGATTCATAATGTACAAAATCCCACCAAAGGCTGGCAGCAGAGCCCAGTCTACTGCGAGGTTGAAAGCAAATTATTTTTTAAAGATTATTTCTGTATGTATAATGAATGATTTGTACCTGATTAGGGAAATCCCAGATTCCTACAAAAGCTAAAGAATAAAAATTCTACATAGTCAAATGGGATAGCTTTAGCAGTTAAAAAGAAAGGAGTATTTTCTTTAAGTGTTATAACTGGTACTTACCAAACACCAGTGGTGACCCTATTTTTAGGGCTGAAGGTCTCTCAGCGTAGTTACTTCTGTTCCTGGTTTCACTGCTTAGGGCGGTGCTGGCAGAAGGTTTCTTTAAGATCTCCTCAATGGAAAAGGACAGGCTGGGCTTCCCCTGGCGGGCACACTCCTGGGGGTCCGTCATCTTCCTGCCAAAGCGGCCACGGAGCAGAGAATCCTCTCCTGCTTTCCTGGCTCTCGCTGCACCCCAAGAAACATGCAGCTGGGAAGGTGCACACCTCTCCCCACCCGTGCCCGGCCGACCTGCCCAGCTCTGGGAGGAGAAACAAAGGTGACCCACCAGTGAGCACACGCGCCTTGGTCCTCCCTGCTGATCAGCTTGGGACCAAGACCTGCGCTCCCGTGTCTGGGGAAGACAGCACTAGAAGTGGAGGTGAAAAGTCTTACCAACCCCACCCACTGCCAAACATCACCCAGCCGGTGCGGATTTACGGAGCTCTGAACAATCGAATGGCCATCCCAGGAGGAGGTGTGCTCCTTCCAGACCTGGGTGAAGCATGCCCTGGGAAGGGTTGCTTCTTGTTGGTAAATCCTGTTTGTGGGGCAGTTATCCTACTTTTCTGCTTTCAGGCTGAAATCTGTGACAAGCCCACTGGATTTACACTATTATGGAGTTAAGAAAATAATCAGCAGGATGAATACTTGTCCCTTGTGCCATTTACTAGCAAGAGAGGCACCCTGTAAACTTCTCTCGCATATAAGGAGGTGTCACACATGGAAATCTCCCTCACCAGCAATTCCCAGGTTATCCTTCAGCCACCCCTCCTCCCCAGTCATCAGCTTTGGTTCAGATTCTCTTTTCTTCTACTTTGGAAACCCTTTGAACTTTGCAAACAGATGCTTTTCGACATCATCCTGTCTTATCAGGCACAAGAGAAAAAAAGATGCCCCTTGCAACATGCTTAGTAATAAGAATCAGTACCCTCTACCCCCCACCTGTATTCCTAAAAACAAAAAATTATTTTCTTTCTCTCCTGAGCTATGAGGCAAGCTAGTTTGATAATCACCTCCTGCGCCTCCCAGTCAGGTGTCTACCGCAGGGGGAGAAGATTTCCCGGATAATGCGGATGAAAGCCAGTGATTCCTTTCCTGAGTCACTTCTATCTTCACATTAATTTTTATTTTGGGAAGACTGTGTGGTTAGATACACTCCCATTCTTTTCCTCTCCCTGCCCCCACTGGCATTTCTTGCCTTCTTCTGGGATTGCCCCTCACCTTTTAAATTGCTATGGTTGTGTCTCCCTCTCCTGCTGGTTCTCCTCTGCGCCTTCCTTATCAGGCTCTTATAATTGTATTGGCAGGCCCTGCCTTATTTGTCCAATGAACTGACAATTCTTGAGCTGATATCCCATCATATGACCTCTTCGTGGAGCAGAGACCAAAATTACTGTGTAACCAGGGGGCAATAAACCACACCTGATAAGATGAAAGGCTTTCGGCTTTTTCCAGATTCAAGATACTGGAAAAGCGGTGGGGGCGGTTGAGAAAAGAACAATGAAAGAGGTAAAAATTGGTGCAGCCAGTTCTGATGAAGCATATTTAATTATCTGATTTTATTAATCAAGCTTCTCCCCAGGCGACAGGGTAGACAAGAGAGTGTCTTTCACACTGATGAAATGCATGGGGTAGAGAGTGGGAAGTGCCTCTCTTTGTTCCCTTTGCAACCATCTGCTCAGTGGCTCAATAGAGCTGTTTGTGTAAAGGAGGATCTCGGTGCCTTCCTGGTTGTGTGATGAGGTGGCAGCTGTTGCGTGGCTGCAAAAGGTCTTGTGGCCCACTCCGTAAGGAGAGGACACCATGCCGTTTCAATTCATGCGTGCAGAAGGATGCCGCTCTGGCCAATCCGTCCTCTCCTGCTTTCCTGCCGGTGCCTGTAATTCTGGCTGGGCACACGAAGAGGGATGTCTTCCCTTTCTCTGCTTAGGCAGAATGAGAGAGTGGGTAACATACGGGCTGAGAAGAGGTAAGCATGTCATCTGTATGCAGAGGGAAGGCAAAGAAAGATGCTCTGAATCTACATCCTGGATGAAAACTACCTATTTAATAAGAAGGCTCTCCTTCTTCCTTGTGATTCCTGATTCAAAAAACATGAAAAAGCAAAAGGAGAAACCTGGTGCATTGTCTTACAAACGCCTTACTTTTCCTACTCAGCTTGCCTAAGGCACTAAAAAAGGGTCCACTTCCTGCTTTTACTGGCTTCCTGTAGAGCAATGGCTTCAAATCTTACTCACTTCCCAGATGTCATGAGTTGAATGTCCTTGGCCCAGCCTCCAGTGCATTAATTTAGCGCATATGACAGTGTCTGGACTGTCTTGGTGTTTACTGTGCTACCTTTTATCTGGAAGCTTTCAGGCAGAGGACAAATGGCTCTAGGGACCAGGAGCCTCTGGTTTTTAAGCCTCCCCTGCTGTCCATTTTCCCCAAGGCTCTATGTAGGTGCAGGAGTGAAGCCCATGGCTTTTTCTGCTTCAGTAGCCAAGTGAAGCCCAAGAAAGGACACATTTTCCTTTGCTGTGGCTTTGGTTTGTTATTAAAGCCTCTTTGTGTTGAAGGGGCTCATTTCTTGCTGCAGGGGGAGGAGGAGGAGGATGTCTCGGGAAAGTCTCATAGGTCCCAACACTCCTTATGAGAGGACTCGTATCTTTGGAGGTCGCTGGCTGGGTAAATTAGCCTAGAAACTTCAGGGCAAAAAATACACCTCCTATCCCTCCTCTGCTCCAGCTCCATTTTTTCTGAATTAAATACACACCGTTTTGAAAGGAAGACACATAGCCTTCTGGCAGTTACATCTCTATGAACTCTCACACAGGCTCCCAAAGAAATCCGTGTACCTCCGCGTTACAAATTTTCTGAAGAAAAGAGAGCTGAGGCAGGCACACTCCAAGTTTTCATCTCAGTAAAACACCTTTATTCAATGATCACATTGACAATACGTACCAAGTGACACCAGAGTATCTGCGTATTCAGAGTATGTGCTGCCTGTCTCCACCGCCACCAACTCGCTCTGGGTAGGCACCTGCTGAGACAGCGCTGTAGTCCCATGTCACAAAATCAAACTGTGCATGTTTGTTTAACTATTCTGTCTTAGTTTGTGACTTTAAACCTCCCTGCTGCTCGCAGGGACAAGTTGGTTTTCTGTGTGCGTTTAAATGAGATGCGCAGATGCAAATTTACAACTTGAAAGCTTCCTCGTGAAGGCTTTATTTTTGTTCTGTCTTATTGTATTGTTGTTTTTATTAAAACTGAAGGCAATGCCAACTGAGAAATATATTTTTGTTCTTCTATATAGAAAAACACAACAAGCACTAAAGTAGGAAATAGGATGAATAAGTGACAACTCTTGAAAGAGGATTAGAAAGCAGCAGTGTAATGATGCATAAATCCCATGTTTTGCATACAAAAATTTCTTTAGAAAAAAACACAGATTTTATATCAAAATGCTTAAGTAATACCAAAGGACTTGAACATTTTAATATTTTTTTAATACAAAAATGAAAAAATAGTGATAAATACTACTTCATTAACTTAAAAAATGAAATAATTTCTTTGGAATGCCTGCTAGTTTGGAGTTTCTTTGCTTTGTATTATGTTAAAATAAAGATGAGTGGCAAAAAATAGAAGCTTGAAATGCAAATGAACATTTTGCAAATTAAAATAGTTCAGTTGACCCCCTTTTTGAAATGATTGAGTTGCTGAAATATAACAAATTATTTATGTTCAAAACAAGAAATTATTTACTTTTAAATTACCAAAGAATGAAGAAGTTCTTTTTCTGCCAAGTTCTAATATGATGGTTTTTGTAGGGTAGTTTGGGGATATTTTTACATTACTGCTTGACCTGGAAATGCAGATAACTCATTTGTTACAATTATTGTGCTACCTGTCTAATTTAGTCTATAAATTCCTTGAGGCAGGAAACACATCTTCCCCTAGGGTTGCCGAGCTCTGAAGGCAACTCCTTACACCAGAAGGCAGCTGTCTAGACCAAAACCATGCTGTGTTGATTTTTTCAACTTGTCCTGCTTGTTCCAGGCAAATCTAGAGGTCCACAAAGCCTGTGAGCTTTTTAAAATACAGTGTGTTTTCAGAAAGTGAAAAATCCTGGATGTGCGGACTCAAAATCAACTTGGGATCAATACTTGGGAGTTTTTTGTCCTATATTGCCTGCCTAGAAGAGGAAGAAGAACTGTATTTATGCTGTCAGTCAGGAAACATGACCGTTCCTGCCCCACTGGTCTCTTCCTTTGGATAAAGACGATAACAGGACGATATTCCACCGGACGCCTCTGAAGCCTCTCCTTTAAGCTCCCACTTTTGTATGATGTGACTCAGGTGTTTATGCACGGCGTGGATGCTGCAGCTGACAACACCTCATCTCCGAGGGCTTGTGCTCATTCAGCTGTTCAGAGCAAGTCTATGAGCTCAGGCAATCAGAGGCACCGGTGCATAGGTGCACTGGCAGATGCCAGCAACGGTGCAGCTGCAAATTGCCCACATCACCTCTGGAGCCTCATGTCCTTGTAGGTTGTCTTCCATCCTTTACGCCTTACTAGACTTGGACAATCTCCCCAGTGACAGCTGCTCTGATCTTCTCAAAGTTCAACAGCTGGCAATGATCTAGCAGAAAGCCCATGCAGCCTGCCTTCTGGAGTCCTTTTAACCTCAGATTTATTAGCCTTGTTGTCTCCGTAGATTTCTCAACAAGCTCATAAATTAGAAATATTAATAAAATGGACACTGTAGGTTTAAACTGATAACATTTATTATGTTTTTCTATGGCACAATTATTATCAATTGACATTTAAAATGGCATCATAATCCATCAAGGTGAAATGGACTCAGAAAGATATTTCTCCCAGGCCAAAAATAATAATGGCAGCAGCAGGACTGCAAGAGAGGAAGCACACAAACAGTTTGAGTCCAGGTCACTGATTATACAGTTTGGAGGTGTTTTTTATCAACTTCACCCTCTGGTTAATCCATTCTCGTATTTCATAATGCTTCTTCTCCCCTGCCAGGCCTCTCAAGCCCTTTTTAGAGATTTTTCTATCAAAAATCTTTAGTTAATCCATGATGGGAAGCCTGACTCTTTGCTTCGAACGGAGCTGGAGCTGTTATATGTGG